CGAATATATTAATAGCGGCTCCCTGATGCCCGCATTTTATATACAGTATAATTACCCAACGATATAACTGTGAGAGAGAGTATTGAAATATATTTTTTCCCTGGGTTTCCTTCCTGCTGTGTGAGCTACTGATATGAGCTGACTGAGGATGATGGCAAATGATTTACAGATCCTGAGCACCACTGACAAGCATCTGATCTTGTAAAATGTGTGGTAAGTACTGCCGCTGTAGTTTACATAGAGCACGTGCGATCGCAAATCTCGAAAAGTGAAAGTAAAACGCGATCGTGCATTTGAAAACAGTTTTAATGCCCTGCATATTAATAGCAGCTCCCTGATGCCCGCATTTTATATACAATATAATTGTCCAACAATATAACTGCGAGAGACAGTATTGAAATATATATTTTCCCTGTGTTTCCTTCCTGCTGTGTGAGCTACTGTATGAGCCGCACTGTGAAACAGCCAATCAGAGCAGAGCTCAACATTGAGCCGAACTGTGAAACAGCCAATCAAAGCAGAGCTCAATATTATTATTCATGACCCTTCCACATAAGGTAAAAACAGACCATTTCATTCTAGGGACAAATCCTAGGGTTGTAAATGGACATGTAAAACCGTTTCTGGAGATGTTTTGCCCTTACCTAAGCCACTTACCTTCTATGTAGATATCAGAGAACAATTTAAAATATTGTATCAATGCATTCTATGGCACCTTTAAAGAAATGGTTCACAAAACATTGAAGGGATAGTTCACCCAAAAATGAAAATTTGTCAAATATTTACTCACCCTCAGCCCATCCAAGATATAGATGAGTTTGTTTCTTTGTCAGATCAGATTTTAGAAAAATTAGCTTTAGATCACTTGCCCACCAATGGATCCTCTGCCGTGAATGGGTGCCATCAGAATGAGAGTCCAAACAGCTGATAAAAAAGACACTAATTATAATCACCAATTCAACCCCAATAATCACTGGCATCAAACTTGGTGCAACACATTTAAAAGCCCCATTTTTAAATGTATATTGTGGTTCGGCCATCATTTGAAAATTTGTATGATATAATGTATAAATGTATCAAAAATAATTAATTTTAAAATATGAATTACCATCTTTTTTTACCATCTTTTTTTACTTTTTTAACTAAAATTAGTACAAAGTATTAAAGGGGTCATATGATGTTGGCCGAATACCTCAAGCGTGTGACGGAAATGTTACGCCCATTAACATACTGTGATGCCCTGTCCGGACGGAGCGACGATTCAAAAACATTAAAACCCATTATAAACGAGGCATTTGTTGCATCCAGTGGGGACATTTTTACGGATTATAATGTATGACACTAAAAGACAATAATACACAAAACTCCAGTCCATCAATTAACACTTTGTGAAGTGAAAAGCTGTGGGTTTTTAATAAACAAATGCAGTATTAAGGCATTATAACTTTAAACCGTCCACAGGAGTCCGTAATCCATTATAACACATTCTCCAGTGAAAAAGTCCACCCCCAATTGTCCTTGTACATCAATCACAACATTTGTTTAGAGCTGTTTTGGACTGTTTTCTATTATAAATGGTGCTTGATCCATGTATATTTCTTTCCTGATTCAAACGAGACAACTTTTTCACTGGAGAAAGCAAAATTATGGATAGAGGACTTTTTAGCCTGAAGCCGTTCACTTCACAATTGTCACGCCCCTGGACTCTATCTGTGTGTTTTTCCCTCTCCATGTGCCTGCCCTGACCTAGTTTTCCCGTGTTAATTGTTTATTAGTTCCAGGTGTGTCTCCTCATTCCCCTCGTCAAGTCCTGTGTATTTATAGTGAGTCCTGTCCTGAGTTCTTGGTCTGGTATTGAATGTTCGTCTTTCCCCGCTATGTGTGTGTTCCCGGTTCCCTTGGATGTTTATTAAAGTCTCTTAGTTTGAAGTTTACTCCACGTCTCCTCGTTCCTCGCTCCGTGCTCCTCACAGTAGTGATCGTGACAACAAGGCTTGTGGATTACCGTGTTTTTGTCAGGACTCTCACCCATTCATTGCAGAGGATC